AAGAAATTAAGAGTTTGTGCGATTTTGCCAAGAAGCGTCGGATCGAATACCAATTTTCCCATTGTGACGAACGACGCCGGATGATCTTCGCCGTCGAAACAGAAACCTTCAACGCCAAGGCCTGCGTTGGCCACTATCTCACCTGTATACTTGGAAAACAAATCCCTCATCTCGAGTTCTATCATACTGTTGCTTCCACTCATTCTTCTGTCCAGGTAATCGTCGAACTTTTTCAAAACCTGCTCGACGGACTTGTACAGTATTCTTAACCGTTTGCCAGTAAACGCGTGAGTCAAACGTTTCCGAGATGTAAACCACATCTCGCCGTTGGCAAAGAAAGGATTTATCGTGAAAAGAGGATCGAGTTGAAAGTCCACTTTCAATAGATTATCGGAGAAACTGTCAAAATTCGACTGTATCACTGTTTTCACCAATTCTGGATCACGTATTATCAATGCAGGTTGCGTTTTGTTGTAAATACCGACCATGCTGTGTTGCGGATGATCCTCGTAAATCTGTTGAATGAAATTGGAGAAGCTCATCTTCAAAGACACGACCGGCCACATGTGGCCAAGCCCAAGAAGCAGGCCCTTCGCGCATGGAATGCCCTGATTGCGCCAATAATTGTAATTCCTGTCCAAATAAAAGTAACATGCTGCGAAGAGTCCTCCGAAAAGCAAGGAAATGAGCACAACAATCATTATAACTCACTTTAGAATAGAAACCCCAATTAATCTAGTCTTACAAACTTATCAACATTGACTGATAAATATAATGTTCTATACATCTCTTAAGAATCAAAATTAATAAAAAATATCTCTATCACACGTTATCATGCTTTGATATATTTTCAGATATTGGCACTTTTATTCGAGTGTATATAGTATAAATTGTCTTGTAATTTTCCAGTCGCGAGATAGTAAATTTATCTGTAATCTCGCTACTAGCTAGGTTTCTCCTAAGTAGTAGTCAGTTAATAATATATTAAATTGTTTTGTCTTTACATAAAAATATTTATTTAATAGGCTTTTAAGGATGTTTTGTTTAATGACATAGTGTGGTGTAATTCTACTATACTATTAACTCGCTTATTTCACATTTAATTTCT